CGTAATCAGTAAAGGTTCAGGGATTCTTGGTATGTCTGCTTACCTTTTCTCCATTAAAGAACTTCCTGTCCTGGCTCTCAGTGGGACGTCAAATCCTAGAGATAGATTTCATGTGTGTATCTATGAAATTGTACTGCCTACTGAATCTTCATGTGTCAAAGTAATCCTAAAGGACTACATACATACATACATACATGGCTAGACTTCGCGAGAGAAGATAAGGGAAGGGCACTACCCACACTTGCTGCAAGCGCGCTGATGGCTAAAAAGGCCGATGTGGGATAGGCAAGTCCGGTTGCAAAGGGCACAGCAGCAAGTCTCCTTAGGCAGTATTGGGAAGGCGCGGTTCTTTCTGGGTGGTCTTTTCTCCTCGAGACAGATTCTACGTGTGTTCTCAAAGGAGACAGTAGTGTCATGAATGGCGTGTCTCCATGTCTCCGATTGGAGGCCAGGGTAGACCACTGATGGTAGTCAATATAGCCAAAACTGAGGTATTGTTTCGGGGAGTCCTTGTATCGCCTCTTTGGGGCTCCTCTGCTGCGGCAGCTGGTGGCGAGTTCACCATAGAGCACAATCTTAGGGAGGCGGTGATGCTCCGTCCTGGAGATGTGCCCTGCCCAGAGCAACTGCGTCCTCAGCAGCATGGCCTCAATACTGGTGACCCCTGCCTGTTCAAGGACAGTGACATTAGTCACGTAGTCAGTCCAGTGGATGTTTAGTATCGTACGAAGGCAGCACTGATGGAAGTGTTCGAGGAGTCGCAGGTGGTGGCGGTAGATGACTCATGATTCGGACCCGTATAAAAGGGTAGACAGTACAATGGCTCTGTAGATGCTAATTTTTGTACTTTTCTTCAGGTGTTTATTGCACCAGACTCTTTTATGGAGTTTTCCAAAAGCTCTATATGCCTTTGCTAACTTGTTGTCTATCTCTTTGTCAATCTTACCATCTGAGGAAATGATACTTCCTAGATAGTTGAACTGCTGGACTGACTTAAGCTCTGATTTGCCTATGGCGATGTGGGGTTGATAGAAGACTTCCTGAGGTGCAGGTTGGTAAAGAACTTCTGTCATCTTCAAGCTGACTTCCAGCCCAAAAGCTCAGCAGCCTCGGCAAAGCAGGATGTTAAGCACTGCAGAGCTGCTTCTGTATGAGCAACGAGGGCAGCATCGTCAGTGAAAAGCTCGCCGACAAGGTGATTAAGGGTCTTACTGAGGGACTTCGATCACCTTAGGTTGAATAGGCTCCCATCGGTGCGATATCGGATGTAAATGCCGTTATCTTCATTGAGGTCTGCCGTGGCCCTTTGGAGCATCATGCTGAAGAAGATTGTGAATAGAGTTGGTGCAAGAACGCAACCTTGTTTCACACCATTGGTTATTGGGAAGGGCTCAGAGAGTGCATTGCCATATCTGACTTGGCCGTGCTGATCCTCATGTAACAGGATAATCATTTTGAGGAACTTGGGAGGGCATCCTAATCGTTCCAAGATCTGCCACAGGCCTTTTCTGCTCACAGTGTCAAAAGCTTTAGAGAGGTCAAAGAAAGTTATGTAGAGTCCTTTGTTCTGTTCTCTACACTTCTCTTGGAGTTGTCTGAGGGCAAGTACGATGTCTGTGGTACTCCTATTGGCTCTGAAACCACATTGGCTTTCAGGTAGAAGTTCTTCTGAGATAGCTGGTACTAATCTGTCCAAAAGTATTCTCACAAGGATTTTGCCAACAGTAGAGAGCAAAGTAATACCACGGTAATTTGAGCAGTCTGATTTTTCTCCTTTCTTCTTGTAAAGGGTGATGATGACTACATCATGGAGATCTGATGGTAGTTCACCTTTTTCCGAGCAGCGCACAACGAGCTCGTGAAATTTAGCATGGAGTGCTTGGCCTCCATGCTTCCAGACTTCAGGTGGGATTCCATCAATCCCAGCTGCCTTGCCAGTTTTCACCTGCTGTATGGCCTCAAGAGTCTCTCCCATAGTAGGGGCTATGTCCAGTTCGGTTTTCACCAGTTGTTGTGTAATGTGCTGAATTGCTGAACCTTGGACTACACGGTTGGCACTAAAGAGAGTCTGGAAATGTTCAGACCGTTGATTCAGGATAGAGGTTTTATCTAAAGGACTACACGTTAAGTGTTTAAAGTGAAACAGAGGAGTGATTGCTGTTTCACAGAACTCTTATGCATAATTGCATGGATGCTAGCTGGTGCAGCACAGCTGTAAATCTTGAATTCGTGCCCAGGGCTAGACCTGAACTTGGAAAGTAACTAAAGCATATGCTGAAGCTCAGTATTTAGAATTAAGAACATACCTCTTCCTGTAGAAAAGCTTCCTTCCCTGAGATCTGACAACAGAATTAGCTTTGACATGTAATGGCATTTTTACTGTAGTGTGTTAGCGCCGTGAATGTTAAATGGCTTCATAGCAGTGTGGCCACTTAATTTATTTCCCAGTAGAATCAATGGTTTAATGTTTGGGCTGGCTGTTGACAGATCTGTTTTGGCTTCCTAATAACCTTCACCTGGAGTCTGGGATGTCTGGGGGGTATATGAATGATGTGCAAAGTGATCTTTAAGTGATATCTGTAACTGCGCTTGGCCCATTCTAAGATCCTTAGAACGGAAATGTCTAACTCCAGTGTCTACAGGTAGCACAAAGCAAGGAGGTAAAATGGACGAAACTAAAACAAGCAGTGAGGTCCGCACATTTCAGTACATTGGACACTTGCATAAGAAAAGATAATTTTGATGCCATTGAGATATTGATTTTTGTCTTTCTCAAATTCAGCTCTTGGACCTGTCTAGTAGATCTGGAAGGCTTGAACATGCGGCATTTATGGAGACCTGGTGTCAAAGCATTGCTAAGAATCATTGAGGTGGTTGAAGCCAATTACCCTGAGACTTTGGGTCGTCTTCTGATCCTAAGAGCACCTCGAGTATTCCCAGTTCTTTGGACACTGGTATGTTTGTAACTCCTCAGCTCTCTCAGTACACTGCTACACACTTGTAGTTTGTAAAAGCACTTTATAAATCAGGCTTTATAAACAGGAAGAGTTAGCATTTGGAAACACCTCTTTTATAGGGTTCCCAGAATGGATTTAAAAACACTGCCTAAGGACTTGCTTACATAGCTGGTTAATTTAGCTTCTTTATAGTGTGAGCTTTGCATAACAAGGATGGTAACAATGCAATCAAACTGATTCCTTCAAAATTGACTCAAAAATGTGAGAGCCTAATCTATTCTGTCTGTCTTTGTAGGTTAGTCCATTCATTGATGACAACACCAGAAAGAAATTCCTTATTTATGCTGGAAATGACTACCAGGGACCTGGAGGACTGCTGGATTACATCGATAAAGAAATTATCCCTGATTTTCTTGGTGGAGAGTGCATGGTATGAATATAAACTAGCACATATAGCAACTTATTTGTGCATTTTTTATTCCCCTACTTCTCTAAACAAAGAAGCCTGGAAGCACAGAATGATTCCTAGTGTAGTTTGGAAGAGAGGGGGCTGTGATACATGATTCCAGGCTTAGTGTTTTCTTCTAGATCCACTTCAAAAAGAGCAGTACAATATTTCTTTACGGTATCAAGTCACTTATCGAAGTAGCCAGACACTGTTAAAAGCCATAGTCTCTGTTACCTGTGAAGGTCAAGCAGATGTGGTAGCACAGCACTGAGCAAGAGCTGTCACCATCAGCTAATTGGAAGGGTCTGTGTCACCTAAAAGAACTAACTGATACCATAAGGAGCCCAAGGAAATACGTGGCACATCTGCTAAGCAGGGCTGAACAAACAGGGCTCCTAGCGCAATATGTGTTGGCCACAACAAACAGAAAAAATGGTTTCACTGCAGGATATGTAATTTCAGTCCCTTATTGTGTGCCTTAATAGCTGCTTTCTGACTAGACTGTGGGTGTCAATTGAATCTGTCATTTTAACATCTCAGTGATACTGCAAGGTTTGTTTTCTCTATACTGGTTTTGACAACAGAAGCTCTCTGGTGTGACTGAGGTGTAGGAGTGCAATTCAGGCATTTTCTGGAGCCTCCTTCACAGTGTAACACTTAGATGATTTATTTTTTCCCTAACTTAGCTGTGTTAAAGTATAATTTCAGGCTTGCTTTTTAAGCCCATGTATACTTTCTAGATTAATTTCTGTAACATACTTGAAAATTCATCTAGGTCTGTTCAAATACAGTCTCAAATGATAATGAAGCACTATTAGACATGTTGGAGTAGAGCATATGTTTGTCTTCAGTGGGCTGCTTTTTGCTGCAGCAGTAGCTTTTAGTGGAGAGAGTTTGTACTATCTAATTTAGAGCTTGAGAAGCTGGCAAAATTCACTGCTTAAATAAGCAAAAGTGACTGTTAGCAGAAAGCAGATGGCTATTATACTGCCGGTCCCAGACCATAGCAGAGTCTTGTTCTCTTCTTTACTTCTGGATATTTGAACAAAAATTACTTCTCAAAGATCCTTTCAATTCTCTCTTGTAATTCAGTTACTGAGCTCTTCTACTTCGCCAGACACTTCAGTGGAACATATTCCTGATCAGATAGCAGTCTAACTTTGTTACTAGAGACTTCTTTAAACAGAAAATTGCTTAGGGAACTTGTGTAGTCAGTACCAGTACTGAGCTGTCAGTACAGTTGTAACTTGAAAACAGTTACCTTCCTGACTGCAATATCCTTTAACTCTTTGGAAACTTACTGTATTTCCTCACCACCCTTCATCCTTAAATTTAGCTACCCCAGTTCTTTCAGGTCTCTCTAGGCTATATTTTTTAGACTGAGTTGCTATTGCCACTTTCTTGAGGATTCCCAAGTGGTTTACATCTTCCTTCAGTATAATGGTAGCATTTGCACAATCATCTTCTGTGGTGGTGGCTGGTGTTTATACACAAGATCTGTTCCTCTGGTGTCTAGTTCTGCCAGCTGACTTAAACCAGAGCATTGTAAAATAAATTTATGTATGTATGATGTGCCAGCTATAAAATTACTTTGTAACTCTGATAGCTCATTTTTCAGAGCACTTGCTGAATGTGAGGTTTTGTTTCAGAAGCTAGCAGACAGAATGTGACAGGATGTGGATGTACAGGGGGGGATACTTTTTAATGGCTCTTTATGCTTTTAGTGCGAAGTACCCGAGGGTGGGCTGGTTCCCAAGTCACTCTACCGGACAGCAGAGGAGTTGGAAAATGAAGACATAAGGCTTTGGACTGAAACAATCTACCAGTCTGCAAGTGTCTTCAAAGGAGCTCCGCATGAGGTACGGTTGCAGCCTACCTGTTTTTTGTATCATCTCAACCTTCTGCTCTGCACTTTGGATTGATTATTTAGTTGCCATGCTTCCACCTTGTTTTTCTGTCGTTCTGGTGCATAATGATGCTTTAGTAGCTGAAGCTGGTGAACATTCCTGGTATTGTTGCCATTTCAAGAATGTCACTGGTTTTCATTCTGTTCAAAGCGGTATCCTTCTAAGTAAACACAAAATTCTCAGAAGCTACTTGAGAGCTTCCAGAAGTTGTGTGTTAAAATAAGGACACTCCATCAGGAGAGAATTTGTATCTGTACTGCCTTTTACAAAATCTAAATAAGCCTGGCAACAAAATCTCTGGCTTTTGTTGTCTTCTCTGATAAGAGTTTCTGTCATTACTGAGCAAATTGGTGTTGTCTAATGTGACTTTTCTGTCTCAGGTTCTCATTCAGATTGTGGATGCCTCATCTGTGATCACATGGGATTTTGATGTGTGCAAAGGTGACATCGTTTTTAACATCTTCCATTCCAAAAGAGCCCCACAGCCTCCTAAAAAGGACTCTCTGGGAGCTCACAGTATTACATCTCCTGGTGGGAACAACGTCCAGTTGATAGACAAAGTGTGGCAGTTGGGGCGTGATTACAGCATGGTGGAGTCTCCCCTTATCTGCAAAGAAGGGGAGAGTGTGCAGGTAAGACTGATGAATCCCTGTGTGGGAGCAGCTCCAAAACTTGATGTTCTCATTCACAATTGTTACTGATGACTGAGTGGTGATTCAGCTCCGGACTGTCTGCTTGCTTTTGGCCGACATTTCAGCTTATGTTCCTGGCTGCATGCTGTGGGGAAGAGGAATAGTGTTTACATGGGATTTGCTGTGAGGGGAGGTTGCATCACTCCAATAGTGACTGAGATTGATCAGCAAGCTACCTAGAAAGGAGTGCACATCCAAGAAAGTTTCAAGATGTGCTTTGTGCTATAATTTTGACCATTATTTTCTGAATCGGTCTGTGAGATCTAGAAGTTAAGACTGAGCTTCTGTGCATTTGTCCCTCTAACAGGCACTGTAAGGAGGTCCCTATGGCCAAGCTTTCTGAAGTTGTTTGGGTTTTTTTTATGGCATTTGCAACCTATCCTTTAATTACCAAGTTTGACATTACATGCAGCATGCTTACAGTCACACTCTGCCACTGCTTTTCCTTTTGACTTGAAATAAGGGTTGAACAGCCTTTCAAAATGAAGCTCCTTAGGTCATCTAATTGGAAGTGTTAAACTGGAAATATGGGCGGTGACCTCTTGAACTGCACTTTCTCCTTCTGTGTGATAGGAGCCTTGTGACTGTTCTTTTCACAGTCTGAAAGGACAGCTTTTAATGAAAACAAATGGAAAAATGGATATTGATTTAAATGAGAACTTTGTCCTTTCAGTGTATTTAAATCTTAACCCCTTGACACTGTCAAAAAGCAGGAGGATGCGTTGGCACTCTGTCATAACTTCTATAAGCATCTTGTGTGGGGAGGGTTGACCAGCACTGCCAGGTTGCTGAGGAGCTGAAGTATCAGCATTAGGGAAAAAATTCTGGGCACATAGGTAGGTTTTTTTCCTAAGCTTGGAAAAGAAATTTCAAGCCTACAAATCTTTGTGTTAACAAAGTTAATTTTGAATTGTTGCTGCGGCTGCTTCCAGGGATCGCATGTGACCAGGTGGCCTGGCTTCTATATTCTCCAGTGGAAATTTCATAGCATGCCTGCCTGTGCTACAACCAACCTGCCTCGTGTGGATGATGTGCTAGCATCTCTACAGGTCTCCTCTCACAAATGTAAAGTGATGTACTATACAGAAGTAATAGGATCTGAAGATTTCAGGTACGTCTGGCCAAGGTTCATGAAGGTCAGCTGATGTCAAACACTTCTGATATTTAGATTATGAAGCCAGTGGCGAGTTCACTTAAATACAAGTAAATTATGTTTTCTTAGGTATCAAAAAAGCCCAAACAAACAAAAAAAATTCAAGCAGGTCTGGCACTGGAGGCAACTAATGTATGAAAGGAGTTAATTGGTTATCTCATTGTAATCACCATTGGTCACTTTGCTCTGCTTTGAAAGCCTTGTGTGAGTTGTTGGGCTTGGCAGGTTGTCATGTAGAAATGGATGCAACTCAAAATGGAATTGAGTCGGCTCAGTTCCCTGCCAGGTGATACACTTGACTGAAACTAGTTCTCAGTCTCTTTGAACAGCATCTGGTTTTTTGCAAGACATTTGGTGTCCCCATTATCTTGTGGTGAGGCAGAAGAGCTTGAGTATTTGCGCCAGAACCGTTACTTGCTTTTTATTCCGTGTGCAAACAAATACAATATAGATACATTGCAGAAATAAAAGTCTTTGTATGTTCTGAAGCTTAAAACTACTTTTTTATTGCAGGGGATCTATGACCAGCCTTGAATCAAGCCACAGTGGATTCTCCCAGCTCAGTGCTGCCACCACCTCTTCCAGCCAGTCCCATTCCAGCTCTATGATTTCCAGGTAGTGCCACAACAGATGAAAAGCAAATGGATGAGATGGCTGGACCCTCGCCTGTGGCAGCTGACTGCAATACAGCATATTCATCTGGCAATTGTGCAAAAACCCCTACCCCACAAAAGCCTTTTATAGATAGTAACGTAGCTGTTTGAATTTTAAACTTAGTGGTTTTGGTCCTTGTTAGATACAACAGCTTGTCTCTTAACTTTAACCCTTTTTCCTAACTCAGCCATAAATATTTTTGCAAGTGTGCTTGTACAGATCCTAACTCTGAACACAAGGGCTCTCATGAAAGGAAATATAACCAGTGTGTCAGTTAAGAATAATTTTTTTAACCGTGTAAATGTTAAAGAGCAAAAAAAGAGAAAAAACCCTACCAAAAATGCTCCGTAGTGCATTAGAAATCAACTGCAAGTCTCCTGTCAGGACATTCCTTGCCATCTTAAGAAAACCCCTGTGATCTTCCAGTGCTGCAAACTGTTCTCCCTTTGCCACTAAGTGATGTCCGAGACAAAAAGCAGTTGCTGGATACTTGACTTTGTGAGTCCATTTTTTTCAAAGCACGCCCACAGAGCTGTGGCCTGGCTGTAAACACTAAAACCTTTTGTATGAGCACACTTCTGGGGAATTTGAGCTCTGGGTCTTGATGGGTTAAAGCAATTCATCTTTCCTTGGATTTGCACTTGAAGCACTGCAGAGAGAGAGGCAGAGAGCAGGCTCTCCCTCCCTGTTTCATGCTGGGCTGATCCTGAATTGATCTGAGGATTTGTTCCCAGTTCTGTGCTGGAGCTTCACTCCACTTCCTTAGCACACTCCACGTGAATTGATTTTGCTGAGGCTGTTCTTACCAGGCATTTTTGCAGAGCTTAAGTTTGCTTCTTAAATCAGTCTGAAGGAGGTACAGCTTACCTCCTTCCTGCATGCTTCTCAATGCCTCTTGCCTCCCCTCCTTCCCTGTGTATGTCAGAAATAGAGCGCTTTAGTTCTGAGCAGTGGAAGCTTTAATGTAGGCAGGGAGCCCAGGGATCTTACATGCCAAGTGATACAGCAGGAGATGCTCTAAGCAGTGCCTGCTCGACTGCTTTTCACTAATGCCACTGCCAGTGGTGAATTGCCATTTGGGATTTTGTCCCTATCCTACCCAGGCCCAAGCAATCCTACTTGAACTGTTTCTGTTGAAGTCTCTTCAGGTATTCTACCACTTGGAGCCCACTCTCCCATGCACAGCAAAAGGCACGAAAGACTTGAAATGCCTGCAGACAACTACACACCACACTTAGCAGTGGAGCAGAGATTTCAGTCTGAAATGCAGCAGGATTTGCATAGTTAAACCCTGCTTTATCTTTCCTCACCCTCTTAGATCTTAACTATCCATCCAGGCAAAAGAGGCTACTGTGCAGAGGCTGCAGTCTCTGCTCAAAAGCTGGGTGGGCTCTATTAAGGCTTGGGGAGGCAGCACTCTTGTGGGTAAATGATAGAGGAGCTTGCAGAAGTCTTGCACTTTCTAAGCAGTACTCACTTAAGATGCTGCATGTCTGGCCTCAGGAGAGCTGGTTCTGAGCTCAGAATAAATCTTCGTGACTGCAGAGCTGCTGACAGGCAGGTTCCTAACCGCTACCTAGGAGCACCTCTCCTGAGGACCAGTTCTGGCTGTGCAGCGTGGCAAACAGCAAGCATTTTAGTAACATAGGCCTGTCTCCTTAAACTGAACCACACCGGCCTATTTTATCCTTTTTTGGACTTAGAAACTGAAGATGGAGGTTAGACTGTTACTGTTTGGTGTCAGGCAGCTCCACACCCGGTGCCTGCACGGCCACAACCACACGCTGTTGGGCTGCTCATATGAGGTGGGAGCCAGTGCAGCAGGAGGCACGGTGAGGTTGTCTTAATGACACTCGTGGCTCTTTGCAAATGCCACTTGCCATTTAGCAGGCTGCAAGGGTTGAAGATGGTCCCCTTTCTTTCTTTCTTTCTCTCTCTCTCTCAGATGGCGATTTTGCTGACAACTGTAAAGAAACTGCTTCATTCAACACTCCACATCTGTCCAGAGGTGTCTGGCTTTGTAGACCTTTTTGAGTTGCAGTCACTTTTCAAGTCTGAAGATCTGTATTTTGTTTTTCACTTGAGCTGGCTCAAAAGTGGCACTTTGGGTTTTTCCTACTGTAAATCTTAACACATCTTTTAGAGCTCAAAGCACATGACAGCACAAACAGCTGGGGAGAGAAAATTCCAGAAAAACAATATTTAATCCTCCCCTAAGCCAAGTGCTGTGGCAATATGACTTGATCACTGCCGTCTGACTAATTAATTTCCCATGCCCGGGTCTCTCTTTGTGTGGTATTACTGCTCTTCTTCCTTGTCGCAGCCAATAACTCTTCTGTTGGCTTTTTTCCTGTTATCAGTGTCCTTCTGCACTTTCCTGTCCATACTCATGACCTGCATATCAAATTCTGTAAATGTTTTGTATACATAATACCTCATTCTTGGTATTAAAATACTGATAGTCTTTAAAAGATTTTTTTATTGTTATCAATAAATGTGAACTGTTTGGAAAAAGGTGTCAGCCTCTTAATTTCATACCCCTGCAAAGCTTCCAGGTTATTTTCTGTGCTGAATTCAGGTCTGTCAGAGCTGCACTGGGGTGACGCTGTTATGGAGGATGCAGGAGGTGCTTCAGCTCTGCCACTGTGGAGAAGTCTCAGCAAAGCTGTGTGGGGGAGCAGAAACCTGGGTAGGTGCAAGATATGAGAAAATGTGGGTGTAGAAGGAAAACAGCCTCTGGTGGGCACTTCCTTGGCACATAACAAAATCCTGTCTTCCCCACAGTACACACACACACGTTTGGGGTTTTGTACTCGCTTGTGAATGCACAAAAGGACAAAATACTGTGTTCAAAAAGTCTTCAAGTAGCCCTAAAAAGAAAATGGTTGTTTTTATGGACTATGTGATGACTTTATATTCTTTTATCACAGTTTGAAAAGGAACTTCAACCTCAGCAGCTCAGCTGATTGCAGCAGACATGAGGCTTGCACTGGCAAGCTTAGCACCACATGGGTGCAGATAAATATCTCTCATTTGCCCCTGTGCTGAAATGTCTGCCTACCTCAACTAGCAAGTGCAATAACTGTCTTCTTTTCTACCTGCTTATTTCTTTATACCCAGTGGCCCTGCTGTAGGCTTTCTGGCAGAATAAATGGCTCAATGTAGCCCTAGGCTGAGCAAGAACTGTCCTGGGAAAACCTGAGTGGTTTTGGTGCAGACACAGCTACCTGACCACTACCACTGCCCCCAAATCCTGCTCTTTCCAGTCACACTGAGCTTTGCAGGCTGTGCCTTGGTGTGGTGCTTGGTGAGAGCCGCTCTGCTCCGTGCTGTGCAGTGTGGGCTGGGGGAGAGGGGGTTCTAAAGTGAACGTTCAGCTGCACTGCTGTGTGGTTTAGTTTGGCGGATGCGGCTGCTGTTGGGGTTGTGAGGGTTGGGGGTTTTTAACTGAAATGTAACAATATAAAGGTACATTAGTTGTCTCTCATTCGAGAAGAAGCGTGCTGCTCTACAGAGCTGCCCATACAGGGGTTCGATACTGCCCACTTCCAGGGCTGGGTGAGCTGTATGGTGTAGAGGACAGGGGTGGGAGGCTGAGACAATCGCATTTAGGGAATTAGGATTGTTTTTTCTTTTCAGTAGTAGCAATAGGCAAAACTGCAGCTGTTTTTAAAACAGGAGCCAATAAATGTCAGGCTGTGATTCTTCTAACCCCTGGAGTTGTAGCAGTGGCTGAAACATCCATTTATGGTTGGTCTCACAGATTTATCCAAGCTATAAAGTTTCTAAAAGGAGAGTCTTCAACTGTGGTTGTGGAGGTCTGTCAGCACGACCAGATGGCTGCCTGACCTACTTCAAGTTTTAACATGTGGCCAATATTTTTATGCCAGCGCGTAATTATAATGGACTGGCTTAGTGCTGCTCTGGACATTGCTAAATACAAAAGCCCTTGAAAAGACATCGTGCAAGAAGGTGGCTTTGGCTGGTCAGCTGCAGGGGGCAGTGGGAAAGCTGCCTTTCCTGGCCCATGTTCTTCAAGTAAAACTCTACAACAACATTTTAGAATTTAAATACTAGGGGAAAAAAAGACGTCTGTAGTCCATGCTAGCCCACAGATGCAGGATCGGGGCAGAGCCCTTGCCTCTGTGTCGGTGCCGTGCTGTGGGTACTCGGTGTGTGCGGGGCCAGCCCGGCACCTCCTGCACCCCAGCAGCTTTGGAGGACACTGCAAGGCTGGCGCAGCACCTGGGAAAGCTGCTACCGGGGTGGGGGCTGCTCAGTGCCTCCGCAAGAGAAAAATCCTAAGCCCAAAGTGTTACATTTTGGCTGTCTTTCAAAAGTCATCAACATCCAGCGCAATTCAGGCTCTAAAAAAAAAAAAAATTGCCGTCTCTCTTTTTTTGAGTAGTGGAGGAAAGAACTTATTTTGCTGAACTTGTGCCGTTGTAAGGAGTTGGGACACTGGGATAGCAAAGGTTAGGATCTTCAAGCTGCTTGTTTTTCTCTTATTCCCTCCTCTGTGACCACTGCTGAACTCACCCCATGTAATGCTGTAAGCTTCAGTCCCTCAGGTGCCCCATAGCAGCCACAGGCTCTAGGGGAGCAGTGAAGGGACTCCAGTTTTGGGGCTGGTGCTGGGTCTGATTCAGCCTTTTTCCCTATGCCCATAGAGGCTGTGGAAACGGGGGCCAATGCTGGTCCCATTCACAGGTCAGAAAGTCCCCAAGGACACAGCTTTGGTGCCAGCACACATCCCTGGCGAGGCACAGAGCTGAGTCTTGCCCAGCCCTCCTCCTGGCTAGTAAATGAACAAATAAATAATTTCAGGCTTTTCTCCATGTGGCTGCAGCCTTGCCCCTGAACTGGGCAGCAGCTCCCCCTGGGGATGGGCAGCCTGAAGGAAGCCCTGGCTCCCAAACACTACCAGGCAGGGTGGACCTGGGATACTGCTGTGACCCAGCACTGCCCCACACATGAGGGTTGTGTTTTAAATGGATTAATAAAGGGAAAGGAAAAGAAAAAATGAGTTAATGGTATGTATAATTCATCCTGCCACTACCAAAATGAAGTGCAGGGGAGCCCCAGCCACCAGCTATTTCACCTATAGCCCTGGTTTTCCTAATTGCATTTTGCGCAGGAAACACCCAGCTGGTGGTTGAAGGGCAAGGGCAGGGTGTGACCCTGCACAGCCCCACATGTCTCCCAACCCGCGTGGGGCAGAGGGAGAGCTGCACCCCAGCCAGGCACAGGGAGCTCCCCCTTGCTTGAGCTGAGGCCCAGCACCGCATAGTGTCCATGGCTCAGCAGGACATCACACCACTTTTTACAAGGGCACGGAGTGATGGGACAAAGGGTAATGGCTTTAAACTGGGAGGGGGTAGATTTAGATTAGATTTTTATGAAGAAATTCTTTACTCTGAGGGTGGTGAGACACTGGCACAGCTGTGGATGTCATCTCCCTTGAAGTGTTCAAGGCCAGGTTGGACGGGGCTTTGAGCAGCCTGGGCTGGTGGAGGTGTCCCTGCCTATGGCAA